CCCACCAACGCCCCCTTGGGCCTCTCGCAGCCTCGCGATTCTGACCATCTTCCTGGCAGTTCCTTCTCTCTCTTTTTGTTTCCCTGCCCTACTCCCATGTCTGCCCTTTAAATGTTACAATTCCTCAGGACTTGGGCCTGGGCCATCCCTTGGGATTTCCCAAAGACACACTAAAGTGATCACGCTTAAAGCTGCACCCTCGATACCTTCCAACGATGTGCCATGTCCGAGTTACCGTCTCCATCTCCTTCTCTCCGGGCCAAACACCTTCCTTGTTCTGCGCACCTGGCGCAGTCCCAACCAGCTGTCTTGACTTTATTTCACTGTTCTTCCTTGTAGAGTTTTACTTCAGCAACCAAGATGGCCTTTTAAAAATATTCCTCATTGCATCACTTTTGCTCCAAGAGACTGGGTTGCTCCTGCTTCTCCTCCATCAGTTCTTTAAGTCTGCAGCCTCCTCTCCTAGCTTCCCATTGCCTTGAATTACTAAGAAATGGCCTACCTATGTTCTCAGACCAAACCACAAGTTTCTCTCACCCTGTGCCCACTGCTTTTCACCCACGTCCTGGCAGAGTCTCTCCTCTGCCCTCCTGTGTCCACCCTAGCCTTCCTTCACTCTGTTAGAATGTAAATCCCATGAGGATAGTGTGTGGTTTTGTATCTCAACATAATATCAACCTATATCAACTGCTATGACAATTTCTGACACACAGTAGATGCCTAATAAATATCTTTAAAACAAAAAAGGAAGGAAGGAAAGGGGGGAAGGAGGGAGGTAGATGAGGAGTTGAGGAAGGAAGGGAGGGAAGGAGAAAGAAGGAAGAAAGAAAGAAAGGAGAAAGCCAGTTTTCCATGAGGCTGTTTCATGTAACCTCTATAGACATGAACAGGGAAAAGGATAGGTGTTTTAAGCAAACTTATAATTCATGAACATCTACATTTACATGAAGGTGTGTGTTGAAAGGTGATTTTTCCACTTTATAAAAAGATCCATCATAAGATTCTTTAAACAGCCTTCCCAGGTACACATAAAAAAATATTTTATTGATTAAAACCATATGTTTGCACAGAATTTTCAGGAAAGTATCTTTTATATAAAGCAAGGTTGACCTCCAACCAATTTCCTTAAGGCCCTGGCCTAGAATGGCCGACTCTCAAATTTCCAAGGTAACAGATAATGGGAGACCTGGAATGCAGGGGATACTTGAAACCCTAGAATGCAAAACCGTGATTTCAGTCATTTGGAGTCCTTGTGACTTTTCTCACAAAAATAGCAAGTGGGGAAATCAGCCCCCCCACCTCCTCTTTCTGTATCTCAGTGAAAGTATGAGTGGCTGTGAAATGACCTCCAAAAGGCTGCTATGGAAGTAAAAACAAAGGCTTATCGCATCACCAAACTGACACTTTCCTCTGGACTCCCTACCCCCACAGCCGCCACCACTGATAACTATGTTGTCTGATTGCAAAACTGGAAAGAGAACTCACTGTGTTAATAAGTAAAATGTAATTATCTTCTCTGGGTCTCAATTTCCTCATCTTAACAATGTGGGAGGTTTTTTTTTTTTTGAGGATTACTGTTTTATAATGATGTTCTTGAACCTACCCAAACTTTACAAAACAAGGTAATTTGCAGTCATTTTCTCTGTCTAATAAAATAAATTTCACAGCTATTTCTGCCCTTCATGCCGGAAACTTTAATAAAGGATCATGAACTTTAAATCAAAACATGTATAATATTTGTATTGTTGTTTGATTTGACTGTTACTGGTGGTTCTTTCTAGAAGAAAATACTTTTCAGGATTTATTTTAGACTAATATTTTATTTACTAAACATATTCCATTATGATGGAAGCATAGTGAGCTGTTCTCGAGTTGCAATATAAGTGAAATGTTTTAGCTACCAGAAAGAAAAATAATTCGTTGGATGCAGTATTTAAATCAAGGTAAACTCAGGGATGGGTTAGTTTTACTGTTCAAAAATAAGACTACTTGCATCTCAGAAAATCCAAAGCCTCCAAATTTAGAAGAAAATAGACGGGACATAGAAAAAATAAAACTAATACCTACAATGCTTTTGGCAAGATTTTTGCCCTCATCAACCTCCTGAAGCTTGTTTCTCCATAATTTTGAATATTTTGCCCAAATATGACTATACTTAATGCCATTTTGAGGGAATATTATTTACCTAAGTGATGTACTAAGGCATTAACATCTCACATAAACACATTGAGAGTAATCATGTTGATCCGTAAGATGGGGATCCTTGCATGGGTCTGGAATGCTAAAGAATGATTCTTGGGAACTTTATTTAGATGTCTCCTGCTTTGTGGGTTAAAGAGAGGTCTTGAGCATTTCAGCAAATCTGAATTATATTTGAAAGTTAATGTTCTCGTATTTTTGTCTGCATTTTTTCTCTCGTCCCTACCTACTTCTATAAATGATATAAGGTCATTTCTTCAGTGAGATAAAGGAATGGATTCAGAAAGGTGGGCAGGAGGAGAAAAAGAGGCAAAAAAGGAGTAGGAGATGATGGCGTCAGAGCTGACAGTTGGTCAAACATGGTCCCAAGACTATACTGGATACAACCAAGAAAATCACAGTAGGAGTAGAGGTAGATAGAGAGATGGCAATGGGAGAGAAAGTTCAGGAAAAAGGACTTGCTAATTGACATTGTAAGTTGAGAAATACACAGAAGACTCGAGACTGGGAGAGGCTTCTAGGGAAGGCGAGATACACAGTTATGAGTATCAGTAATGCCATCTTCCACTGTGCTACTCAGAATTGATGCTTGACTAACAGCCTCTGCTGTGGATTGAAACACAGTCCAGAAAGATGCAAATACATACCCACTTTTGTGGAATTTTGAGGAAGACAGAAACACGGATTTGTTTTGTGATTCTTCTATTATTCAGTTTACTTCGAGGATAGAACTTTCTTCAAAATGTATGAGCCATGTCCTCATGTGAGGAGACTCGGACTCCGTGTGTTTGTGCTGATAGGAGGCAGGAGGAATAGGGCCAGTCCAAGTGTGGATAATTTGAAAAAAATCTCCCCAGGTTAATTGCAGAGGAAGGTATGTAGGAAGGTAGGTAGGTAGGTAGTAAGCAGTATGTATGTAGGTAGGTAGGTAGTAGTTATGTTGGTAGGTGGTAGATATGTTTGTAGGTGGTAGATAGGTGGTAGGTAGGTGGTAGGCAGAATGTAGGTATATAGGTAGGTAGTAGGTAGGTAGGTAGAAAGTAGGTTTGCAAGTAGGTAAGTAGTTAGTAAGTATGTTAGTAGGTGGTAAATAAGTTGTAAGTAGGTAAGTAGTATGTTAGTAGGTGGTAGATAGGTTGGTAAGTAGGTTGGTAGGTGGTGGGAAGGTAGTAGGTAGGTAGGAGGGCAGGTGGTTGGTAGGTGGTATGTAAGTAGGTAGGTAGTAGGTAGGTGGTAAGTAGGTAGGTAGTAGGCAATATGTAGGTATGTAGGTAGGTAGGTAGAATAGGTTGGTAAGTAGGTAGTAAATATGTTAGTAGGTGGTAGGAAGGTTGGCAAGTAGATTGGTAGGTGGTAAGAAGGTAGTAGGTAGGTAGGTGGGCAGGTGGTTGGTAGGTGGTATGTAGGTCGGTAGGTAGGTAGAGGGTAGATTGGTATGTAGGTAGTAGGTAGGCAGTAGGTAGGTAGAAGGTAGCTAAGTAGGTGATAGGTAGAAGATTAGAAGGTAAATAGGCAAATAGGTAGGTGGGAGATAGTTAGGTATGTAAGTAGGTGGGAGGTGGTATGTAAGTAGATAGACAAAGATAGAGCTATACACATATAGTTAAAATTTGCTACTATTGAATTTAGAAAAAACAAAGAATAAATGGGATTTTCATAGATTTAAGAGCAATTTTTACCTTAACCACAGAAGATGCATAGCTGGTGACTTTCCCTGGTTATTAGTAGAACATCAGATTATTTTCTCTTTTCATGGGTGTTGGTACCAAGGCCATGGGAGATGACTACTGGAGAAATGTCTATTGGGGAAAATGCCTGTCATCTAAGACTATGTCCTGGTACTAATTTATTATCACATCTTCTTTTTGTAATTTCAACTGTACAGTGTTCATTTTCCCAGGAGTACTAAGGACACACAATATTCTTGTAAAGCCACCATGACTGCCACTGTCCTGGGGTGCTCAGAGCACCCTGACCTGAGCTGGGGAGTCTGGGGCACACTGGAGTAAGTGTGTGTGAAGGGGATCTGGAGTGGGTGGGGGGCAACTGGATCCTCAGCCCTGCCCTGATCCCGTGTGGGGGTCATGGTCATAGCTCAGACCTTCTCAAACCTTTCAGTTCACGGGAGAGTATTGAATAAGGTAGTCAATTAGGTCCCCTAGGACTCATCATCTTATTACCCCATGAACTTAACCTTAAATGCCAGTGACACTGGAGCACAGGGCCTGTTCAGGAATTGGCTAGTTTTCGGTGACATATTTGTCATCATCATTTCATTTTTCACTCTCTATTGAATTGATAGGTCAACGTGATGAGTCTTGTGTAGCTACCTATCTACCTACCTACCTATCTAATTAACCTGGGAGGTTTTTAAAATCGTGCATGGCCAGGCTGTCCCCCTGCCCTCTCCCAACACACACAGGGAGTCAGAATCTCCTCACATGAGGCCCTGTCATACACACCTTGAGGGCAGTCCTGTCCTCCAGATGACCAGAACAACAGGAGAATCACAAAACAAGCCCGTGTTTCTGTCTTCCTCAGAATTCCTTAAAAGCATGTGCTGTGCTCAGTGCATGACACACGTGAGTGAGGAGAAGGAAGGAGAAAAAGGAGAGCCGAAGGGGGGGTGCGTAACTGTGAGGTGCCTGCTTTGTCTTGCTTTACTGCTGCTTCATGCGATATGACCTTGTGGTACTGAGAATGGGGATTGGTGGCCTGGAGGTCATCCTACACCTGCCTTGACTGTACCGTAGAAGCAACACAGTTCTTGGTGACAGCCTCTTCCCTTCGTGTCTCACTAGGTTTGGAAAGAAGAAGGACGACAAGGGTGGAAAGGCTGAGCAGAAAGGTGCTATGCAGCATGATGGCCCGCGGGAGGAGGCGCTGGAGAGGATGAGGGAGGAGCGTGGAAGGTGAGCTGTGCACGGCCCTTCTCTCTTATCCGTTCGTGCTCTGTATTTCACGTGGATGTTGCAGCATTCTGAGTCTGCTGGAGAAATTTTATTTTAGGAAGTATAGAAGTCTGGGTGGGCACAGCGGCTCATGCCTGGAACCCAGTACTTTGGGAGGCTGAGATGGGAGAATCGCCTGAGCCCAGGAGTTGGAAACCAGCTTGCACAACACAGGGAAGACCCCATCTCTGCAAAACATTTAAAAATTAGCCAGGTGTGGTGGCATGCACCTGTAGGCCCAGCTACTCGGGAGACTGAGGTGGGAGGATTGCTTGAGCTCAGGCATACCGCTGTACTCCGGTCTGGGTGACAGAGGAATACCCTAGCTCTTAAAAAAAAAAGGAGGAGAGGAGGGGGAGGGAGGAAGAGGAGGAGAAGTGTAAAGGTTGACTGTTACAAAAGGAACCTCCCTTTCTGCGAAATTTTTATTACATTTTGAGAAGAAATTAATTTCATGTTTTTATTATATCAGTACTTATAATGCCATAATATGCCATCCCCAGTTTTGACTATAACAGTGTATTTTTCTCTATGGTTTACATGGTGAACTTTTTTTAAATAGAAAGGTCATTTTGATATTGATGTTTGGAGCTATCAAATTCTCACAGTCTGTTGCTAATTTTTGTCAAGCTGTTGTATGCCTTCTTAATTTTATTCTGCTCAGTCCATTTGGGTACAGTAATTTGAGAAGTACATGTCCTTCATTTTTAAAAAGCCACTGTCTTTTACTAGGCGATCAGCAAGCTGAGAAACGTGTTGCCCATCTGTTAAAGGGCCGGCTCCATTTGCTGAAATAATGACAGTTTGCAAGGGCTGAATTCTCCTGTTTGAGGAGCTTAATGTTCCATTTGGACAAGAGGTCCTTCACATATCTTTGATGTTAACTCTGGCACTTATCCCAAGTGCATGTGTAAATGTAACTGAATATTCATATTTCTCCTGAAAATTATTTGCCTCCACAGCTAAATAAGGCTCAGAAACACTGAGATCATGACAAAACCAGCATATAATTTTTTTGATACTGACTTCATCTTCATATATGTAGTTGGACTTACGCAGCTTTTCATTTACCTATCAGTTACGTTCATTCTCGTCATTTCTAAAGAGTCAGTCTCTGTATTTATCACTCTAGTACGTGTACTAAGAATATCATATCTATTCATTGTGTTTTCGAGCACAGAGCAGTCTGAATATCTGCTGTTAACCTTTGACCCCTATCTTGTAGTCTATTCCCTTTGAGAAGACTGACTTTATCAATAGCGAGGAACAAAAGCTATTTAGTTCTTTCTGGATTTTAAGAGGTTGATACGCTCTGTGCTAAGGTCACTGGAGCAGTCAGAAGGAAATCAAGTGTTTTACATTGTTGTTGACTATTCACCTGACAGAGCTACCCCAAAGACAACGAAGATACTCTTTGTCATAACCTGAGACTCAGCCGTCCTTCAGTGCACAATGTGTCTCTGGCTAAGGGTTTAATGCATACATTGGCAAAGACATCTGTGCGATGAGCTGGCTGCTCCCTCAACTTTCCTGACTGGGGCTCTGCGTCCCACACCTCGTCTTCAGGAGACTGAGCTGCTTGCTAGAATGCAGACTTGACATTTTCCATAGCTCAGTGCTTGCTTGGGATAGGGGAAAACTCTTCGTAGCTGGGGAACTGTGTGCCAGCTAGAAAATTGATAACCCATAAAATAAGCTGGGTTGTCTTAAAGCAAGAGTTCATTTCCTTTCTGGTTTTGCCTTTAGGAAGCAGGTGCCGGAGGGAGTTTTGTTCCTAAAAGCAGGGCTGTAAATTCACCTCAGCTGGCTCTCTAGGCTTCGGATCCAATGTTCTTAAAATACGTCTGGTCAGAATAGTGAAAGAACTAGGCTGTTACCCTCCACCGAACCTGCTTCCCACAAGTGAACATGTCAAACACGTCTGATCTGGGCTGCCTAGAGACAACTTTGTCTCAGTCATGTGCTGGGGAGGAAGCAGAGGAGGTGACTTCATGGTTGGGTGCTACAGAATTAATGACCAAGGGCATTTCAACAGCTCGGGAGCTGAGGGCAGGGAAGGTGGAGGTGGAGGCTGAGCATCTGGCATGGTTCCCAACCCTGGAGTCCAACCCTTAGCTCTCCATCATCATAGGAAACCCCTCCACAACTCTGCAGGAATTCAGTGAGCGCATCCTTTTCATGGCATAGCAGTGGGAAAAAAAGAAAACGAAGTAAGAAATAATGATAAAAGCTATAGTTCTTTTTTTCCTAATACATTCAAAATTTGTTTCCTTGACATGACGCAAGCCATCCTATTGCTTGCTTGTTTCATCCTAGCTGTCATAGGCATAACAGGTTTTACATTAGCATATCCCCTTTTCAAAGTATTTAAAGCTCTTAAATACAATCTATATTGTAAAGTTCAGGTGCCAGCTCATACAAACTTACAAGAACCAATTGTTAAACTTTCAAGAATTCTGTGAGCTGCTTATTAAACCATTGGTGGGAATATCTGCAGCACAGAATTTGGCAAAAGCAATACATTGGAATTTTTTTTCCAAAGAGCCAACTCACCAACCTCCCACTGCAGGCCTGCAGCAACTACCATTAATACATGTCCAGGACTCAACTGTCAAAAGTAGAGGCAGAAAAATATATCCAGATCAAACCACATGACTTCCTATAGCAGTGCTTCTCAAAATGTGGTCCATGGGCCACCTGCATTGAAGGAATCACAGAGAACCTTGTTAAAAATGAAGATTCCTGAACCCCACACCAGATTTGTAGAATAGGGATTTGGGGAGTTGGCGCCCAGGAAACTGTGTTTAATAACTAAGTCCAAGACTATTCTTCAGCATTCCAAAGTCTAAGAACCACTGAAATGGAGGGACTAGATTTGACTGGAACATTAAATTATTCTTATTTCATGAAAATTGATATACAAGGGAATAGGAACAACTTACACCAGCATCCTCGTGCTCACAGAACTCACAAAATATCTGCTCATTAAGACATCGGAAACATAAAGTGTATGATAGCCATCAAAACCATGATAACCCCACAGCTACCACGCATGTTTGTGTGGCCTTTTTCATATGCATATACAGTTGACTTCCTGTGTCTGTGGGTTCCACATATGTGGATTCACATACCTGCAGGTTGAAAATATTAAGAACACTTAATTCCACAAAAGGTCCTAAAAACAAAACTTGAATTTGCCACATCCCAAGTACTACACTGAATCTACAAGAGTGAAGTGATGTGTGGGCATTGTGTTAGGTATTATGAGTAGTCTAGAGATGATTTCAGGTATGCAGGAGGATGTATGTAGGTTATATGCCAATGCTACACCATTTTATATCAGGGACTTAAGCATCTGCAGACTTTGGTATCCTATAGCCAATCTCCAACAGATACCAAGGGATAATTGTATTTCTCTGAAAACTTGGCATCCATACTACATATATAACATCTTATATTTTTACAACTTTGTATCATGAACATTTTCCCATGTCATTAATGTTTTTAAATGTCACTTTGCTCATCACCTAATATTTTATGAGATCAATATACGATAAATTACTTATCTTCTATTAAGCCTGTTTCCACTTTTCATTGTTCCAAATAATACTTGGATGAGTATCCAGATGCAAACATCTTTATAGATTCCCCCAAGCCATGTAATTCCTATTTAAAGTTCAATTTCCTTGTAATTGTTTTACCCTAGGATTAGTCTAACCTCTATTATGCATTTTAGGGTTCTGTAGTACCCTCCCATTTATCTCATCTTTCTGATGACTTTTTAAATTTCATTTTAGTCTGCCTGCATTTCTAAGTCCTGATATGGAACTGTTTTGGTGCTATGTATGAATACTTATTTATAACTTATGACCTTATGAAAAGGTAACAAAAAGTGGGTTGGGTAACTAGATTCGATCCAAGAAGTTCAGGGTCTATGTAAGTGATTCTCAGTGGGAGGGGGCAATTTTGCCTCCCAAGGGATATTTGGCTATGTCTGAGGACATTTGTGGGTGGGTGGGGGAATGGGGTTTACTCCCTTATACTGGGTGGAAGCCAGGGGTGTGGCTAAACATGCTGCAATGCACAGTGCATTCCCCATCTCCCATCAATGACTTTTCCAACCCAAAATGTCAATGGTGCAGAGTCTGAGAAACCCTGTTGTAATCGCCAGACTTCACAAAGAGCAGTGATGTTCCCCAGACATCAGGATTGCACTGTCTCATGATCACCTGTGGGAAACACAGTAAAATATAATGTCAGATGACACAACCCTAGGAGAATTATCAGCTAGTTGAGAAGTGTACCCAGTGATTGCTGATAAATATTCCTCTTATGTAAGCTAGCAAAAATAAAGATTTTCTCCAAAATTTAGTTTTAACCCTGGTCTGCTGAACACTGGCTTTAGTGACAGTGACCTGTTGGTCCAATTGTGAGTGCCAAGAAACTGCAGGGATGATAATATGTCTGATGACAAACTGATCTGGAACAATGAACTGAACATAAAGTTAATAGAAATAAATGTAAAGTCTTACATTTAGGCCCAAAATTGAACTGTACAAACACAGGTTGTGGAAGGTTTGACTTAATATCAAATATATGAAAATTTTGCCTGATGGTTTTAGTTGAGTGTGAGTTTAGCATGAGTCAACATGTGGATATGCCTGCCAAAAACTTAACCTAGTCCTAAGCTACATTACTAGAAGTTCATGTACAAGATGAAGGAAGAAATAATAATTCCTATTTGACACTGCTCAGATCACACCTGGAATATCCTGTGCCTCTCTCTCCTGCAGAGAATGGGGGGCACTAAATCCATGTCTTATGAAAACTGCTGATGGGATACAGGCTCACGAGTCAAGACCTTGCTGATTTCACATGCGAGAACAGTCACATAGAAGAGAGATTTGCTTTATAGCATTCATTTTATTCTATTCTACTTTATGTATCAGTCTGCCTCTTTG